CCTGGCGCTGCCTTAGTAGCGAAGCAGTAAATCTCGCCGGCAATTGCCGGGGAAACCTCTCTTAATTCTGCTTGCTGCCCGAGGGACGGGTCTGCCAGCGAGCCAGCGCATTTTGCCTTAGCGCTGCTGAAAGCTGTAACGAAGGGTCCAGTCGTTAGCGAGGGAGATCCCCCAGCGCACGTTAGGAGCCGGTAGGGCAGAGACGTGCCCACGCCAAGGCCGTCCCCGAGCGACACCGCAGGGATGGCGGCGGAGGGCTGAGACCCGCCGACACCCCCTTCTTCAGCAGCTCCGCAGTATTTTCCTGCTGCTTATGTCGAGTGCCAACCTTGGATGAGTCAACCGAAGCTGTCTTCTTCACGGGGCTTTTGCGTGGCGTTTTGTGTCCGCGCGCGCCGCCGAAGGAGACAGCGGCGCTGACCACTTTCGAAGGCCAACGTTAACACGAGGTCTTTGCCGAGCTGAGTTTCATTCCTCGTTGAATCAATGCCTCGTTCCGTAGAAAGACACCTGTGGTAACGGAAACATTTCCCAGCTTCTCACGGGAGCTCTTGGAGTTTTATTTTCTGGTAATACTTGTTTATAACCTAATCAAATCTGGAAATCCCCTTGGACTGTACAAGACGTACCCCCGAACGCTCACCACCCCTGGTTTGGGTGCAGCGATCAGGATCACAAGCAGAGTTCAGCATCGCCTCAATCATGTCAAGTCTTGATGGATTAAGTCAGAGCTGTCAGAGAACAGAGTTGTCGTAGTGACTTGTTTTAGCCCAAGATGTCCTGCCCGAACGCTGCAAACAGCATAGCACGCCTCTCGGGGGAACTTGTGAAGTCTCAGTGTCTCGTCAGAATCACTTCTACGGCTCATGCGGAGAACGTGGTCCTTCTTAAAAAGCGCCGGAGTAGTTTAGGTAGCTCTTAGCGCCCCTGTGCTGGAGACCTGAGCACGTGGACGTCACCTGTGGTCGCTGCGTCGGTACCCGAGTACCGTCGCCACGCGAGAGTCTTGTTTTGTCCTCTCCGACTCCTTTGGCATCATGAGAAGGGGAATTTTTTTGTGGCAGCTTGTTCACGCACAAGAAAGGACAAACTGTGGCGTTACGGCCTCCGCCACCGAGTCTTGATGACGAGATCTGAAGTCAGCTTGTCCAGAGTCTGCTTGTCTTCGGAGCAAGTTTTCTAGTGTGCTTTCTATTCCAATTTTCTCTTTGAAGAGTTTGCAACTTCTCAACTAGCTTAACTAGAAAAGTAAGGGACGCATCAGAGAGTGATCGTTAACCACAAGCTCTAAATAATCTTCACTCACTCGTGAATTTTATTCGGATCGTGAGATTTTTGGGAAGAGTCCACTGAACTATTGTAAACTTCAAGTTTGGACCTGTTTTCTCACCCTGGAATAGCCTAGTCTGCAACAGCCAACAAACCCTCGAGTTTCTTTTGTTATTTGTAGGTTTGTGGTGTGAAATCCTGCTCTCGGTGAAGTCATTCACAGACATCCCCTTGGTCTCTCCGGAGCTGGGATTTCACGCGAAGGCTGTGCTGCCCGAGTGGGCTTTTCCCGTTCTGGGTGAAGCCCCGGGAACTTCTCCACCCATGTAGTTTCGAGGTCTCGGACGTGTTGACTGCACACGTGGAAGGAGTAAAGGGAGAGAGGAGGTTCGCAGCGGAGGTTTTCATCTGCGCGCCAGCCTCGTCAGAGCAGAGCCAGCAGCCGGGACCTGGGGAACGTGCCGCCTCGCGGGAGCGCTGCCCTTTCCTGGAACGGGCTCGGAAAGAGAAACGCGTATCCGATACCTCAGCCGGCTCTTTATCCCTTGAGGTTGCCACCGGCCTGTGACCCTGCCTGTTGACCAAGCGCTTGGTCCTTCTGCTCTCTCTGTGCTGAGGCCGGCTCCGGTTATCCCTGTGCTTCCTGGGACCTCCCCAGCCTGGCCAGCGCCGCCGGGTCCTGGTCCAGGAGCGAAGCCCA